AGTTATGTCATCACGTGTGTTAATGGTCAGTTGTTGTTTCCTGTTGTTGGTTCTTTGTCCAAAGGACTTCCTTTAGCATGTCTTGTAAGGTTGGTCCTTTAATTTCTGTTTTTCTGGAAATGTCCTAATATCACCATCATATTTGAGGGACAATTTTTCTGAGTATATAATTCTTGATTGGAATTATGTTTTTAATTTCAGTGTTTTATATATATCATCTCATTGCCTTCTCTCCTGCATGGTTTATGCCAAAAATTCAGAGCTCAGTCTTACTGGTTGCTCTTTTAGGTAACTTTTTGCTTTCCTTATGATACTTCCAGGATTTTTTTCTTTGTCTTTGGTTTTGGTGAGTTTGATTATGATATGTCTTTGTGATTTTGGGGGGCATCTACTGCATTTGGGGTGCATTGAACTTCTTGAATGGATATATTCTTGTCTTTCATCATATCATGGAAAATTCTCTTCCAACAAACCTTTGACAATTCCTCCATGGTTTTATTTATCTCTTCCTGCTCTGGAATTCTGATTACACATTGGTTATTCTTCTTAATGGTGTCTCACATGAATCTTAGGTTTTCTTAATTTTCTTTTGATCTTTTTTTCTGATTCATCCCTTACTAAAGTAGTATTGAAGTATTTGTTTTCAATCTCACTGATTCTGTCTTCCACAATTTGATTCTACTCCTTTGTTCAATGTGTCACCTATTTCTGAAATTTTAGTATTACTCTTCTGGATTTCTATCTGTAGATTTTGTATCATTTTTAATTTTCCATTTATTTTGTCACTTTGTTCTTGTATTGTTATCTGAAATTATTTTAGGGTTTGGTCTGTGTATTCCTTAGTTTTGTCAGTGTTTTCCTTGATCTGTCTCTCACTCTGTTGAATGTACCTAAATATAATTCTTTTGAATTCCTTATCAGGGAGTTCCAATGCTGCTTCTTCCTTGGAGATGTTTTCTGAGTCTATATCCTGATCCCTTGCTTCTATTGCTTTATCTTGTTTCTTTGTATGGGCTGTGATGATCTGTTGTCTCTGAGACATTGTGACTTTGTTGTATTTATATTTAATTGGTGATTGTATGTTGGTGTCATTCACCAAGATTTTTTTTTTCTTTCTTTCTTTATTTATTTTTTTAATTTTTCTGAGTAAGAAGGGTACTGTGCTCCTCTATTTGCTTGTTGGCAGCACTTATGCACTCACCACTTGCCTTCTTTCCAGTCATCAGCCTCTAGTGTGGTTAACTGTGCTGTCCTCAGCATGTGCAGCCTATTCTTAAATCACTGGGATTAGAACATTGCTGCTTTAAATATCCAAAATGGCTACACTACTTGTAAATATTCCATATGACCACCCTCTAGGCAGCCAAACATTCATAGCTCAGTTTATCTCCTTCTTTGCTATTTCAACCTTTTAGTTATCAGCCACCAGTGTAGTTGTCTGCAGTCCTTTGCAAACAGGGTCAATTTTTAGGTGCCTGCCAAGGTCCTAATATCACTTGTAAATATTCAAACTAGCCATATTGTCAAGATAGCTGACACTCCACAGTTCCATTTCTGTCCTTATTCACAGTTTTCATTCAGGTGCTTTTACTAGTTGGTATTTAATCCACTTCTGTACCCTTCCTTTTATAGCTCAGGGCTCCAAGATTATCCTCTGTATCTATGTCAATTGCTTTCTTTTATTAGTTGAAGGGGGTCTGTGTAGCTTGTCTGTCTAGTCTGCCTTCTTACCAGAAGTCCCTGACTAACCTATTCTTAACCAACTTCCTTTACTTTCAATTCTCAACAGGCATGGATCTGTGAGAAGATAATCATACATTTGGAATTAAAAGTCTCCTTCTGAGATGCATGTTTTGACTGAAAATAAGGTTAATGAAATAGTAAATAGTGTCTCTGAAGAACTCTGTAACCCTCTCTGCCTAATTTAGCTTCTGAGAACTTGAGGGGAAGATCTATTATACCACTTATGCCATTGTTTATTAGACTATCTAACAGCCAGAAATAAGCCAAATGGCATATTTAGATAATTTTATAATACAATCAGGATAAACTTAATTATTAAACCTGTTGTTGTAGGTGAAATAATGAAATGAAAGGCACTGTTACCTCTCCCAGTGTTGTCTTTCCTCTAACCATGATTTACTTCTGCAACCCACATTTCCCTCCTGCTTTGTGATCATTGTCACATCCCTATTGACTGCACTATAAAATTAAAATGTGTAAATGTGTTAGTGTTGCATTCAAAGCTTTTTATATTCTGTCTCTAACTTTCTAGTACTTACTTATTTCTACATCTAGGCACTCAGTTTTCAACTAAAGGTCAATAGTTTGAACCCACCAGCGAATTCATGGTAGGAAAGATCTGGCTATCTTTTCATCTAAAGATTGTTAATATTGTTGTGTGCCTTAGAGTCAGTTCCAACTCATAGTGGCCCTGTAGGACAGAGTAGAAATGACCCACAATGTTTCCTAGTCTGTAATCTTTATTGGAGCAGATTTCCAGGTCTTTTTTCCTGTGGAAAAGCCGGTAGATTCAAACTTCTGAACTTCCAGTTAGCAGACTTTTCAATTAGCAGCCAAGGGCTAACTTGGCTCATTCTGAGCCAAGGCTCATTCTGTAAAGATTATATATATATATATGTAATAAAACTCATCCCCATTGAATTGATTCTGATTCATCACAGCCCTATAGGACAGAGTAGAATTCCCCCTTAGTGTTTCCAAGGCTATTATCTTTATGGAAACAGACTGACACATCTTTCTCCCGCAGAGTGGCTGATGGGTTCCAATTGCCGATGTTTCAGTTAGCAGCTGAACACTTAACCACTGGGCTACCAGATCTCCTTCTGTAAAATATTACAACCTAGGAAATCCTTTTGGGCAGTTCTACCTTGTCCTATAGGGTTGCTATGATTCAGGGTCAGCTCAACAGTACAAACATAGACCCTACAGTTGAACCTCATCGGTCAACTGCTGGTTCCTCCAACATGACTGGCTTCTTCACATTTGTTTCTTTTGCTCGTATTTTTCCCAGAAGGCTTTTTCCAGCTACTCTGATAAGTCAAATCCTCCTCACCCCTTAAGGCTGGAACATTTGTCACATGCACACTACCAAGTCTTCTCTGAAAGGTGACTCATTTCACCCTCCCCACCTCAGACACAGTGAATCTTTCCTCTCTGTAGCACTTACTCTTTTATATTTGTCTGTAAATATACTATATATATATATATATATATGTACATATACTACATTTATGTTTTGCTTATTAGACTGAAAAACAGTTACAGGTCACAAGTGTATTATTTCCATTTTTCTGACCTTGAAAAAGAGCTCAACATTATTTCTAACATATTCATGTTTACAAAAATGAATGGAATAGAGAGAGGAAAAAAAAAAAACACTAACATTTCATGATGTCTATCACATACATAGCTTTCTAAGAATTTCTGAAGAAGGCAGAAATACAGATGTGACCTCTGAAAGCCATGGTAGTGTCTGGCTGACACAGTAACTGGCCTAGAGTAGGTACTTTGTTACTCATCTTTGACATGATAAAGTTAGAACATAAACTTGCTAATTTTTAATTATGAGTATTTATCCAAATTTTAAAACTCATATTTGTTGTGGAAAAACCATCCTTTAAAGCTCTTTTGTGTGATTAGATTCTTTATTTTGGAGGTCCAGATGGGGCTGAATCTATACACTGATGTTTATTGAAGCACTTCAAAATTACATGAAAAGAAAATCAGGTCTGAAAATAAATTGAATTATCAGTGACATATATGGCATGGAATCTGTGGCATTCTTTCTTCATGCAAATATTACAATTGTAGCCTATAAGTACCCAAGTCTCCTCAAATTCTGATAGGTTTTTTTTTTCCTATTTTGAGTACTTATATTTTATGTAGCTGCAGAATCCATCTATTACAAAACTAAAACAGTTATTGTCAGGGGATTATAATACTAAAGAATGAATATGACTCATATATATCCAGAATAGTTTATAAATCATATGAACTATATTCAGGAACTGTGTAACTTTTTACTGGGCTTCAATAAAAATTAATTAATTAGTAATATTAATCATATGGGGTTAGCATTTAGATATAATTGAATATTTTTTATCCTAGGTACTAATAGTCATAATAAAATACCACATGTGAATGATTATGCACATTCACACAATTATTCTTTTAATCCTTACTTCTTTTTTATGGGGTTAAGGGACACCTTCAGACAGCTAGTAAGTAACATAGAAATTTACAGTGGAAAGTTAGAAAAGACATCCCAGCTCAATTTATACAAAATATGTTCTCCAAAATAAAGGTGAAAGTCCATTTATTATATTTTAATATGGGTAAAGTCAGATTTTAAAAATTTATTTTTCATACTAGGATGTTACATATAAGTTACAAAGATAAAGGAAACCCTACATATGAGAAATATCATACATCAATTAATTTAGAAAGCATTTGTGATATATGTCAGGCCAATGTGCTAGATAACAATGTACAGTAAAGATAGTATGGTTCACAATTCTAGGTGCTCATAATACATAAAAAAAGGTATAAAAAGAATAGCAATTCAAATTTCTATATGAATAAGTTGCTAACACATATCTTATTTGAATTGGAGTCATCCTATATTGTGGTATGATATACTGGAAGGTTTTGAGAATTTGGGGTGGCTCATACAGTTTCACATCCAAAGTTTGGCTCTTATTCATGTATGAGCACGGAAAAAGATTACCTAACCTTTCTGTGTCTCAGTGTGTTCATATGGAAAATAGCTTGCTTGGCAATTAAACAATATCAAATAAGTGAAATAATTTCATGCATTATATGTACTTAACCAACATTAGCTTCCTTCTTCCTCTCTGCTACATTGGTGAAACATTTTAATTGTAGTCTTATAATGTTTTCTTAACAGTGTGGTTTATAATACAGGTTTAAGATATCACTTTATGGTGTCAAATACTAACTTTGACCCATCATTGCAGTGGGTTCATTCTTTGCTGCGCATCTGTGCCATCATCAGTGTCATTTCTGTCTGTATGAACACTCCAATGACATTTGAACACTATCCTCCTCTTCAGTATGTGACCTTTACTTTGGACACTTTATTGATGTTTCTCTACACAGCAGAGATGATAGCAAAAATGCACATTCGTGGTATCATCAAGGTGAGTGATTTCATGTTATTTAAGCTTATAGCCAATATGTATTATAGAATTTTATCAATTGATATTATCTTCATATTAATTTCAGTGAAACTAAACATCTCATTACTTTTGAATATTGAAGTCTTTTAAAAATCATAACTCTTATTGGTGAAAATATGGTATCTAAGAATGTTAAAATTGTATAGGGTGAACAGCTTTGGGCTATCTATAAAGAACTAGAAGGTCAGATTCCCTACTTTGTGAGGGCCATGGCAGTGTCTATCTTGTCATCTAAAAAGAACCCCAACAATTGGTACAACCACTGTTCCAAAGTAGGCATTTTATTATTTGTTTACTTATGTTATGATTAAGTGAGAGAAGGAAGTGATATTCAGCAGAATGTTAGTAAACTGAGGTGTTTTAAAAAGGTATACAAAGGAATACAAAGAAAGGACAGGAGTTGGAAAGGAATTCAGAGACTATAAGAAAAGGAACATAAACCATGGAGTTGGCACCATCAGGAGACAAAAAAAAAAAAAAAAGGAAAGAAAGAAAAGTTCTGTCACAGGATATCTCTTCCTTCTCTACCACTAACTTTCACAAGGTTAAAAATATGCAGTTGATGCTGTTCCTAATGTGTTTCAAAGTGTATAATTTAGAGAGATAGTTGTACAACAAAACAGCAGTATAGACTTTAGAGTCTAACAAATGACAGATTTGAATCAAACCCTGTCCTGTTTACTAGCTGTATCAATGTGGTAGTTAAGGTTGTGTCAACTTATCTGGCTCTGTTTTTGAGTGGCTGGGAAGCTGGATATAGTTATTTCCCAGGATGAGACTGGTAATCAACTCCATGGTCAAATCTACTGTGAGTAGCTGAATAGTTGCCATTGGGATGTGGTCTGCTCCCAGTATATGGGACTCTTAACGAATGGTCTGTATCTTCGGCATACTTGAATGCTGCATGTAGCCGAGTTGTTATTCAACAACCTGCCATGTTAACTGCCTTTCTTGGGATTATTAATGGACTTGAATCAATGGCTTGCCCTATGTTTTGGTAATATTGGGACTGTGCCATTTTATTTGTTGACCTTGGGCTTGTCAGCCTCAGCATCCAGCAGCTGCCTGAGCATCTGTGAGCTGTGAGCAAGAGGCAGAGCTGAAGCCAAAGGTCAAGAGACTTTCACCCATTTCCTAGACCCTGGCTGGCACTTTGAACTCTGCCTTCTAGCTTCCAAAACTGTAAGAGTTCATTAAAGCCACCCATTTGTGGCATTTTCTATTAGAGCAGCATGAAATAACCAAAACAATCAGCTTCTCAAGTTAGGTAATTTTGGTGGAAAAGTATCTCATTCTGTAAGAATTTTGAAAATGTAATGAAAATGTAAAACACACAAAGATTAGTCATTTTGTTGCTTAATTTATTGTGTGATCAATGTGTTACTGTGATTAGTTTTTGTTATTATGGAATTTTCTTATGCATGCAAAAGTAGAGATTATAGTTGTAACGAACCCTCATAACTCTCAATATCAAAAATTATCAATATTTGGCTAATTTTCTTTCATTTTAAAGCACATCTGAGAAAATAATTCTTTATGTATTACTGACTGATAAAAGCTTCCTTCTTCCCATGTTATTATCATATAACTACTATATATTAAAGTCTAGCAAATTATTAGTACTTTCTTAGGATAGGCTAATACCTAATCTGTATATATATATTTTCTCAGTTGTCTCAAATATTTCTTTTTATAGTTGATTTATTTGAATCAAGACTCAAAGTTCACCCATCACATTTGTTATATGTTTAACTCTTCCTTTTAATTATCTCATCCCTCCAATTTATTTTTCTAAGTCATTAATCCATTAGGGAAAATGTGTCTTTTTAAAGAACCCCCTGGAATTCTAGATTTGGCTGATTGTATGCTCATGATGCCATTTGGTTGTTTTTATATATTCTTTGTGCTATTTTGTATTTTAACCAGGGACATATGCAAGTACCGTTTTCCCACAAGGTCACCAACAGAATATGTTTTCAAACTTTTGGATATTTCCCAATATAATAGATGGGAAATGCTAACACTTTGTAGCTTTGATTTGTAGTACTTTTTGAGATGAGGCTGAGCATGATTTTATGTATATAAAGGCCATTTTTAAGTTACTAAATTTTTTTCCTTAACTTTGGAATTCTGAAACTTTCTTTATTCTCTTTACTCTTGTGTCTTCCCAGTGATTTCTTCTGCCCATGATCATGTCATGCTGCCTTTCCCCTTATTAGATATTGCTTTTCTCCCCACCCCCCCTTTACCACATGTGGGAGCTCTGGTGGAGTAGTGCCTGAGGCATTTGACTGCTAACCAGAAGTCTGGCAGTTCAAACCCACCAGCAACTCCTGGTTGGGCAAGCTACTTCCATAGTGCTACCACCTCAGAAACCCAAGGAGGGGTCGCTATGAGTCCAATCTGACTTGATAGCAGTGAGTTTCGTTTTTTGTTTTTTACTACATGTCTATTTGCTAATGATTTATCTTCATTTCTGATCCCATTCTTGGTAACCATCAAAGAATGTTTCTGTGTGTAAACCTTTCTTTGACTTTTGATAATAGTGGTCTTACACAAATTTGTCCTTTTGCTATTGACTTATTTCACTCAGTATAATGTCCTCCAGGTTCATCCATGTTTTGAGGTGTTTCTTAGACTCTTCATTATTCTTTTCATTGCATAGTATTATATTGCATATATGTACCATAGTTTGTTTATTAATTCATCCAATGATGGGTACTTAGGTTGTTTCCATTTTTATGTATTGTGAATAATGTAATGGTGAACATAGGTCTGCATATATCTGTTAGTGTCATGACTTATTTCTCTAGGCTATATACAAAGTAGTGAGTTTGCTGGGTCTTATGGTATTTCTAGTTCTAATATTATAAAGAAGCACCATACTCTTTTTTTCACACTGGTTGTATCACTTTACAAACCCACCAGCAGTATGACAGAGTTCCATATTTTCAACACCCTCACCAGAATTTGTTTCTGTTTGTTTGTTTTACTTTGTTGTTATTGTTGGGGTGAGATGATATCTCACTGTTGTTTTCATTTGCATCTCTCTAATGGCCAACTGATTGAAAGAGATACGTATTTGCACTCATTCCAAAGTAACGTGATCCAACAGAATGTATAAATTATCAAACAATATCATTACTATCATACTACACACACACACACACACACACACACAACTCACTGCCATCAAGTTGATTTGACTCAGAGCAACTCCTCCTTAAGTTTCCGAGGCAGTGTCTCTACAGAAGTAGATTGCCCAAATCTTCTTTCCAGGGAGTGGCTGGTGGGTTTGAACTGCCAGCCTTCTGGTTAGAAGTCAAATGTCTTAGGCACTAGGCCACCAGAGCTCTCATTACTATCCCATCACTATCATGTTGTTGTCCAAAGATAATTCAAAAATGGTTGCAGCACTATATTTATAGAGAACTTCCAGAAATTCAAGCTGGATTCACAAAAGGACATGGAACAAGGGATATATATCATTGCTGATGTCAGATGGATCTTGGTTATCAGAAAGATGTTTACCTGTGTTTTTATTGACTATGCAAAGGCATTTGACTGTGTGAATCGTAACAAATTGTGGGTGACATTACAAAGAATGGGAACTCCATACCACTTAATTGTGCTCATGAGGAACCTGTGCAAAGATCAAATGGCTGTTATTCAAATAGAAAGAGGGGATACTGCGTGGTTTACAATGAGGAAGAGAGTGTCAGGGTTGTATCCTTTCGTCACGCTTATTCAGTGTATATACTGAGAAAATAATCCGAGAAGCTAGACTACATGAAGAGGAACGTGGCATCAGGATAAGAAGAAAACTCATTAACAACCTGCAATATGCAGAGGACACAGCCTTACTTGATGAAAATGAAGATGACTTGAAGCACTTATTGTTGAAGATCAAAGATTACAGACTTCAATATGTATTACACCTAAACATAAAGGAAACAAAACTCCTCATAACTGAACAAATAAACAACATCACAATAAATGTAGAAAAGACTGACATCAGCTATATCATTTTACTTGGATCCGCAATCAATACCCATGAAGCAGCAGTCAAAAAATAAGACTTCATATTGTACTGGGCAAATCTGCTGCAAAAGATCTCTTCAAAATGTTAAAAAGCAAAGATGTCATTTTGAAGACAAATGTGTCCCTAACCCAAGCCATAGTCTTTTCAATCACCTATTTTTTTTTCATATGAATGCAAAAGCTGGACAATGAATAAGGAAGATTGAAGAAAAATAGATGCCTTTGAATTATGGTGTTGGCATAGAATACTGAAAATAGTAAGAATGAACAAATCCTGGAAAGCATGCAGCCAGAATACTCCTTAGAAGTGAGAATGACTAGACTTCGTCTCACCTAGTTTGGTCATGTTGTCAGAAGGGACCATTCCTTGGAGAAGGGTATCATGGTTGGTAAAGTAGAGGACCAGCAAAAAAGGGGAAGATCCCCAAGATGGATTGACAATAGGCTCAAGTATAGCAAGGAATGTGAGGATAATACATGGCTGGGCAGTGTTTCATTCTTTTGTACATGGGGTTGCTATGAGTTGGATTCTATTCAATGGCACCTAACAATAACAATAGCTAATAATCAAGAGTTTTTCTTCCTGTGTTTGTTGGTCACCTCTACATCTTCATTGGTGAAGTATCTGTTTATGTCCTCTGCCCATTTTTAATTGGACTGTTTGTCTTCTAGTTGTTTAGGTGTTGAACTTTTCTATAAATTTTAGAGATTAATCCCTTGTCAGATATATTGTTGCCATTTTTTTTTTTTTTTTTGCCAGTCTCTTTTTACTCTTTGGAAATGTCTTTTCATGTGCATAACTTTAACTTTTAGGAAGTCCCAGTCATCTAATTTATCTTCTACTGTTTATGTATTTTTGGTTATGCTTGATAGATTTTATGTCGTAAATTAAAGATTTTTTAAATTTGCCCTATTTTTTC